CTGTCTAGAGAAGATCCTTTAGTATTTGTTGAAGAGCTGGTTTGGTGGTGCTGAATTCTCTCAGCTTTTGCTTGTCTGTAAAGCTTTTGAGTTCTCCTTCATATCTGAATGAGATCCTTACTGGGTACAGTAATCTAGGTTGTAGGTTATTCTCTTTCATTACTCTTAAGTATGTCCTGCCATTCCCTTCTGGCCTGAAGGGTTTCTGTTGATAGATCAGCTGTTATCCTTATGGGAATCCCTTTGTGTGTTATTTGTTGTTTCTCCCTTGCTGCTTTTAGTATTTGTTCTTTGTGTTTGATCTTTGTTAATTTGATTAATATGTGTCTTGGGGTGTTTTGCCTTGGGTTTATCCTGTTTGGGACTCTCTGGGTTTCTTGGACTTGGGTGGCTATTTCCTTCCCCATTTTAGGTAAGTTTTCAGCTATTATCTCCTCGAGTAACTTCTCATGGCCTTTCTTTTTGTCTTCTTCTTCTGGGACTCCTATGATTCGAATGTTGGGGCATTTCACATTGTCCCAGAGGTCCCTGAGGTTGTCCTCATTTCTTTTGATTCTTTTTTCTTTTTTCCTCTCTGCTTCATTTATTTCCACCATTTTATCTTCTACCTCACTTATCCTATCTTCTGTTTCTGTTATTCTACTCATGGTTCCCTCCAGAGTGTTTTTGATCTCATTTATTGCATTATTCATTTTTAATTGACTTTTTTATTTCTTCTAGGTCCTTGTTAAACATTTCTTGCATCTTCTCAATCTTTGTCTCCAGGCTATTTATTTGTAACTCCATTTTGTTTTCAAGATTTTGGATCATTTTTATTATTATTCTAAATCCTTTTTCAGGTAGATTCCCTATCTCCTCCTCTTTTGTTGGACTTGGTGGGCATTTTTCATGTTCCTTTACCTGTTGGGTATTTCTCTGCCTTTTCATCTTGTTTAGATTGCTGTGTCTGGAGTGGGCTTTCTGTATTCTGGTGGTCTCTTGTCTCTTTTTTTATTAATTTTTTCCTCTCTTATCGTTGTTATTCAATATTTTCTGCTTTGGATTCAACTTGCTGGTATATTTCTAGTATAGTGGAATCTGAGGTCACTAATTTGAGACCCAAATTTTCTTCATTAATTTCCTTCTTTCCTAATATAGGTGGTCTTCTCAGACTATCAGCCCCACCCAGTTCTTCTCTCCCTTCACTATAACTTGGAAAATCTCAAAACAGTACATTGGGACAATCATCAGACTCATCTTGTTTCTCATCTCCCAGAGATCTTTGTTCGATGTCTTAAAAATTGTTGTTTGATGTTCAGCGTCTTGAAAACGGTTCTTCCTTATATTTTGCCTCCTTATGTTAGTTGTTTCAGGTAGTAGGGTAAATATGGTCCCTGAAATTCAAACTTTGCCAGAAGTAGAAGTGACAAGAATATGAATTTTTAAAATATACTTTATAAGAGGCATTCCACTTTGTTGATCAGTTGTGGATCTCCGATGGAATTTTCTTTGCTAGGATTTGACCCATGTTGATAATTTTCGTTTATCCACATTCACAATGCAGTGATGTTGGGCATGGGGGTATTTACAGAATTCAGGACGAGTAGCTATAGGAGTCTTCTTCCTAAACGAGGCACAGTATAAATAAAATTACCAGTTCTGGATCAGTATACGAAGTCGTAGTTTAGGGAATATTCACAAGTATTAATGCGAAAGAATTGGGGCAATTGGTGGCAAAGCGAAAGGAAAATCAGAACTATCAACAAGTGTAGACAAAAGAAAACAACAGGAAAAGGAAGACAAAAATCCGAACTAAGGTAAAACAAATTTATTCAAAACTTACTGGTAACAAAATTTATGATTAGATATGGCCTTTACTCTGAAGTTTTCCTTGACTTAGAATAGATATTGCAAGTTAATAGGTTTTAAAGGCTGGGGGAAAAAAGATACTTATTTTTCAAATCAACTGTTGCAAATTTGGAAGGAAGTAAAATCTGAAATGAACAGTTTTTCCTATGCTTCAGAAATATCTCTATACAAACACTTAATACATCAACTACAGATTTATTTTTCTTATTCTTTGAAGTAAGACTTCTAATAATCTCCACTAAATGAGTTGGCCTAGTGTGAATGACTTTATATATTAAAAAAATTTTAATATATGTATTTTAAGTAATTCATGGCTCAAATTTTAATGATATAGGCATGAGATTCTTCCTTCATTAAACTAATAAGGGAGAAGGAAGTTGAATATAGGCACACAGCAGAGGTGTTGCACGTCTGGTAGTCTGGAGACTATCTCAATAAATCATATGAATTTTTTGGTTTCCCAATGCATATAAAAGTTGTGATATACTATACTGTAGTCTGTTAACTGTGCAGTAGCATTATATCTGAAGAAATTTTTTTTAATTTAAAAATACTTTATTGCTAAACAAAATGCCAGTTATCATCTGAGCCTTCAGTGAGTTGTAACCTTTTTGCCAGTGGAGGGTCTTGCCTCAATGCTGATGAACCCTGACTGATCAGAGCGGTGGGTGCTGAAGGTTGAGGTGGCTCTGACAATTTCTTAAAATAAGACAGAAGTGAAGTTTGCCACATTGATTGACTCTTTGCTTTCATGAACAATCTCTCTGAAGCATGCAGTGTGCTGTTTGATTGCGTTTTTCCCCACAGTAAAACTTTTCTCAAAATTAGAATCAGTCTTCTCAAACCTTCTTGGTGCTTTATCAGCTAAGCTTACGTAATATTCAGATTTACTCGTCATTTCAACAATCTTTACCATGGGTAGATTCCATTTCAAGAAAACACTTGGTTCAACTCCTTGAACATGTGGTTCAACTTCATATCCATTAAAGTTTTGTCATGAGACTACAGCAGTTCATTCACATCTTCACATGCTACTTCTAATTGTATTTCTCTTTCTATTTCCACCACATCTGCAGTGACTTCCTCCACTGAAGTCTTGAACCCCTCAACATCATCCATCAGGGTTAGAATCAACTTCTTCCAAACTCCTGTTAATATTAATATTTTGACCTCTTCCTGTGAAGCATGAATATTCTTACTGGCATCTAGAATGGTGAATCCTTTCCGGAGGTTTTCAGTTTACTTTGCCCGATTCCATTAGAAGAATCACTATGCATGGCAGCTATAGTCTAATGAAATATATTTCTTAAGTAATAAGATTTGAAAATCAAGTCAGATCCACAGTCTCCAGAATGGGCATTGTGTTAACCGACATGAAAACAACATGTATGTCATTGTATGTCTCCCATCAGATCGTAGGTGACCAGGTGCCTTGTCAGTGAGTAGCAGTGTTTTGAAAAGAATCTTTCTTTCTGAACAGTGGATCTCAACAGTGAGCTTAACATTTTCAGTAAACCTTGTTGTAAAAAGAAGTGCCGTCATCCAGGCTTTGTCGTTCCCTTTATAGAGCACAGGCAGAGTAGATGGAACATGATTTTTCAGGGCCCTAGGACTTTGGAAATGGTAAATGAGCATCGGCATCAGCTTTAACCCACCACTCACATTGTCCCCTCAGAGGAGAGTATACCTGCCCTTAAAATCTTTGAAGCCAGGCATTGACTGCTTTCTAGCTGTGAGAGTCCTAGATGCCATCTTCCACTATAAGGCTGTTTTTTAAAAACGTTCTATGTATTTTTGGCTGTGCTGGGTCTTCCTTGCTGGGCTGCGGCGAGCAGGGGCTTCTCTTCATTGCAGTGCATGGCCTCTCATTGCGCTGGCTTCTCTTGCTGTGGAGCACAGGCTCTCGGGTGCGCGAGCGTCAGTAGTTGCGGCACGGGAGCGCAGTAGTCGTGGCTCCCCAGCTCTCGAGCACAGGGTCAGGAGGTGTGGTGCATCGGCTTAGTTGCTTCACAGCGTGTGGGATCTTCCTGGACCAGGTATCGAACCCGTGTCTCCTGCATTGGCAGGTGGATTCTTTACCACTGAGCCACTAGGAAAGCCCTAGGCTGTTTTGTCTACATTGAAAATCTGTTGTTTAATGCAGCCACCTTCATGTCTGGATAACTTGCTGCTGCTTCTACATCAGCACTTGCTGCTTTCCTTTTATGTGATGGAGACAGCTTCTTTCCTTAAATCTCATGAACGAACCTCTGCTTGCTTCAGACTTTCCTTTCATAGATTTCTTTCCTATCTCCATCTTTAGAGAATTAGAATTAGGGCCTTGCTCTGGATTAGGCTTTGACTTAAGGGAGTGTTATGGCTGATTGATCTTAAAACTTTCTATCAGCACTTAGGCTTTTTTTGTTTTCTTATCATTCTTATTTTCACTGGAGTAACAGTTTTAATTTCCTTCAAGGACTTTCCTTTGCATTCACAACTTGCTAACTAGTTGGCATAAGAGCCCTAACTTTTGGCCTATTTCAACTGACATGGCTTCCTTACTAAGCCTAATCTTTTTCAGCTTTTGATGTAAAAGTGAGATGTGTGACTCTTCCTTGCATTTGAGCTCTTAGAGGGCATTATGGAGTTATTAATTGGCTTAATTTCAATATTGTTGTGTCTAAGGAAATAGGGAGGCCTAAGCAGAGGGAGAGAGATGGGAAACGGCCAGTCGGTGTAGCAGTCAGAGGACACTTACTTATCAGTTAAGTTTGCTGTCATATGTGGGCATGGTTACTGGTGCCCCAAAACAGTTACAGTAGTAATATCAAAGACCACTGATCACAAAGCACCATGACAAGTATAACAAAATAGCAACAACAATAATAAGGCTTGGAATATTGTAACAATTACCAAAATATGATGCAGAGAGATGAAGTGAGCAAATGCTATTAGAAAAATGGTGCCAATAGACTTGCTGGACAGAGTTGCAACAAACATTCAATCTTTAAGAAACACACTATCTGGGAAGCTCAGTAAAGTGAGTACAATAAAACGAGGTCTGCCTGTATAGGTGGTGATTACGACTAACCACCTCTTTTTGAAGAAATAATCATATACTTTTGAGTTGGGAGTATATATGTCCCTAAGCATAATTTATGATTTTTTTATAGATTTGTGGGACCACTGGGTACCATCATCATAAAATGTAAGGATTTTCGAATTATTCAGTTGGATATTCCTGGAATGGAAGAATGTTTGAATATAGCCAGTTCCATTGAGGTAAGTGTTTTGGAAACAAAATGTGATAAAAGAAGGAACTTTTATTTTCTGATTCACTGTAACTCTTATGTTTCTTTTTTAGATAAATATCATTTGAGTCATGTTCTGTGGCTCAAATCTGGAAGACTGCAAAGCCTTACCCTGAATCATTGTTACAGGAATGTAAAAAGATTTTACTGACTTATAGCAGTTATTAATGTTACTTATTCTTCTGGGTTCATCTATGTTGTAGCATGTGACAGGATTTCCTTCCCTTTTAAGGCTGAAAATATTCCATTGTGTGTTTATAAATGTTGAGACTTTGAAAATCTTACTTCTTTTGTAAAGCAAGTAATTATCGCCAATGATTGTAGTCTTTTGTTTGTTTATAGTAAATTTGAATTTCCATACATCGTGTTTGCTTGAGATAGGATGTGTTCATTTTATATTTATAGAAATGATATTGAACATATGTCCAGATTACAAATAATAGAAATTTACTTGGATAATTTAGTGTTTAAATTGAATCAGTTTAGTTCAGTCGCTTAGTCGTGTCTGACTCTTTGCGACCCCATGAACCGCAGCACGCCAGGCCTCCCTGTCCATCACCAACTCCCAGAGTCCACCCAAACCCATGTCCATTGAGTTGGTGATGCCATCCAACCATCTCATCCTCTGTCGCCCCCTTCTCCTCCTGCCCTCAATCTTTCCCAGCATCAGTGTCTTTTCAAATGAGTCAGCTCTTCGCATCAGGTGGCCAAAGTATTGGAGTTTCAGCTTCAACATCAGTCCTTCCAATGAACATCCAGGACTGATCCTCTTCAGGATAGACTGGTTGGATCTCTTTGTAGTCCAAGGGACACACTATTTTCTTTCCCACTTTAACCAACTATTTTGGTATATACTCATTTTAAAAATTGCTTTATTTTAAATCATTACCACTAAATTATAGCAGTTAACTTTATGTTTATAGTATTTTCTAGATAATTATAGAGACACATTGAGTTTTTTTTTTCTTTCTGTCTTTGAGTGCCTAATATGGGCTTTGTATGCAGAATAATTGCTATTGGCTTAACTATTAAAAGGAGGCAGAAAGGCTTAAATCTGTAACTAGGATTTCCTTTGGCTTTTAAACAAAAACAGAAATAGAAGAACTGTTATGGTACTGAGAAAATGGCATGTAGTATTCTTTCTGCTTTCGCTAAATTTTTCTTATGAAAACAAGAAGATAAGCTGAACTCTTTGTGTTACTTACTCATCATTTGGAAATAACATAGGAATGTTGAGTTGGCTGAATTTGTTGACATGAGTGAGAATCACACTGTATCTTCTAGGCTGTTGAAAGGAAATGCTGTCTTGCTCTTTGGGCCAGGTAATGCCGCTCACCTACTTCGGTTGAGCATGTTATTTTTTTTCACTTGTGGGGTTGGATTTTCACTGACCCATGCAAATTTTTTTTTCTTATCCCTTTTATAACTTGTAAGATAGCCAGTGGATGTTAGTGAAATTGCCTGTGGTGAAGAAACAGGGCAAAAAGGCCTATTACCCCACTCTGATGGCATTTACTTAGCTTTGTTAGCATTTGACACTAATCAGTTGCTTATTTAGCTGTACATATTAAATACTATGTAAAACTCTCTAGAAACTGACTGATTATGGAGAATCTTTTGGCTGAAAAGAAGTCTCAGATTCTGAGCCACTCTTGTAATCTGACCTTAGAAAATTAATGCTCTATTGATTGTTTTCACAGCATAGTACATACACATGGTGTACTTGGCCTCTAGCCTTTTCCTGGCATCCAGTTTTCTTCTGCCCCTCCATATATCATGATATAATTTGGTAGTAATAAGTGAATTCTTATAAAGCATAGTTGAGCTATTCTTTATTATCAAAGTTCATATACTCAAAATCTGTTACCCTAAGTAGAATCCCATTAGAAGAATAATTGGCAAGTGCTCAGTTTTCTAAATTATTGTAGGAAGTCTGATGAACCATTTTTTCTGTGTAGTTTCGGTTGTCTTTTAGGTTTGAAATGACTTTATTTCTTTGAGCATTAATGTGTTTAAAGGAAAAGTTCTGTCTCTAGCTGCATGAAATGTAATCATGACAAGTCAGTGCTTATTGCCTGCTGGAATGTTTGTGAACATGGATTTAAAATAATGATTGTATCAATCACTATTAATATAGTATGGAGGTTCCTCAAGAAATTAAAAAAGGATCTTTCATTGATCCAGCAATCCCACTTCTCGGTGTATATCTGAAGGAAACAAAATGATTGTTTTAAAGAGATATCTGTATTCCCATGTTCATTGCAGCATTATTCATAATATTCAAAATATATAAAAACCTAAGTGTGTGTTGATGATGGATGAATACAGAAAACTGTACACACAGTGAGTGCACATGTGTGCATACACACACTCACACACACAATGGAATATTATTCAGCCATCAAAAAGAAAGCTATCCTGCCAGTTGAAACAACTGCATGAACAATGGCATGAACAAACAGTGAATGAAACTAGAGGGCATTGCGCTAACTGAAATAAACCAGACAGAGAAAGACAGATATTGCATGGTATCACTCATATGTGGAATCTCAAAAATGAAAAAGGGAAACACATAGAAACAGAGAGTAGAAAATTGGTTTCCTGGGGCTAGGGGTGGGTGAAATAGGGAGAGTCTGGTATAAGTTACAGATGTTCAGTTATAAGACCTGAGAATCTAATGTGTAACATAGACTGTAGTTGATAACACTATATTATGTAACTGAAATTTGCCAAGAGAGCGGAACTTAAATGTTCTCAAAAGCAACAACAGAAGATAAATATGTGAGTTGATGAATGTGTTAATTAACTCAAGGGGGAAACTCTTTTACAATGTGTTTGTGTATCAAATCATCACATTGTATGTTAGAAATATTTTACATTTTATTTATCAATTTGTACTGCAGTAAAGCCAAAAAAAATTTTAATATTGCAAAGAATATTTTTTAAGTAGTAAAATAATAAAATTTAAAAATTAAATAAAGGTTCTACTGACCTGATCTTTCTGTGACTTAGAAGGAGGTAGCTTTACTCTGAGAGCTTGGGAATGTTAGCTTGATGTTGGGCCCCTCGCACCCCTCCAGGCGAGTGTCTCCAAAATTACAGCAGTTTGAATTGTGCTAACTGATTTTGTGCCTTTGTTTTTCTAGCCATAGAAATACTTTCTAAAGCTCCCCTGTCAGAAGGATGAAATCGCCAAGTGACAGGGGATATTCTGTCTCTCAGTCCCTCATCTAGTCAGGGTTCCTTGGCATTGTACCTCAGATGACCTGCAGGCTCACTTTGGGGCCACGGAGTTACTGCCCCGGTTTCAGAATGGGATAGTGTAGCATGCAGGTATGAGAGCATCTGATCACTCTAGGAAGGGAGGGAATTTCACATTGATGGAGGCTACGTGGAGCATATGGTAGCTGAAATTAGAGTTTATTATGTGTCAGGTACTATTTTAGCCCTGCTGCACACATTCTCTTAATGCCTCAACAACCCTAGGCATCGCCCTGTGAAGTTATTTCCTCCATTGACAGCTGAGGCATGTAGTGGCCGCATTACGTAATGCCACTGTTGGCACTGGCATCTGGAACTTGAGTCTAGCAGTCTGACTCTTTGGCTGCTAAGCTTTTTTACAATTGCTCAGAAACTCTGGTTTTAAGTAATTTACCTATGTAGTTAATAACTGGATTTTGAGCCAAGGCCTTATTGGTTAACTGCAGCCTGTTCTCTAATCCCCAGAAATATTTGGACCTTTTCTTTAGGCCTTATTACATGGTATCTGGAAGAAGTTTTTTTCATTTTTCTTCTGGAATAGGTGTGCACATTGTTTTCTTCTTTTGTTCATTCAGCAAATGCTAATTGAGTGTTATGTGCCAGACACTGTGTTAGAGGCTGAAAATAAGGTATAATTGTATCTAGTGATAAATATAATGTTAAAGAAATGAATTAGGTGTCCATCATTTTAGGCCATATTTGATGAATATCAGTTTGGCAGATAGAAAATGTTTGGAATTGTGACACGTTCCTTTTTTCTTTCTTTACTTCTTTTTTCCCGTAGGCGTTATCTACCCTGGACTCCATCACTCTGATGTACCCTTTCTTTTACCGGCCCATGTTTGAAGTGATAGAAGATGGCTGGCATTCTTTCCTCCCTGAGCAAGAGTTTGAACTCTACTCTTCAGCAGTGAGTAACTTTTGAGAGAATTAATGGATAATGAGAAATAACCCAGCACTTTACTGGTGGAAATGATCGCTTCCTTTTGACAAGTAAAAGAAGTATCTATTAGCTATAAGTGCTGCAGCCTCTGCCACTTAAAGATTTGCATAATTGTTCTCAGTGCTACAGCTTAAGTAATTTTCCTTCTAGTAGATTTGCTTATAAAGCATTAAGATCTTCATAAAGATAGTCCTGACCTGTTTTAATTTGGGGGTGTTATAAAAGTATCCCATAGAAGCAGTTTTATATATAGTAATTAGGTTCTGAACCATCCCCCCAAAAGTCTGTTGAACTCACTGTGACCCTGGAGAGCATTAGAAAACAATGTATATCAATTTCTTTCTGTGGGATAGTTTTTGTGATTTCATGATTTTGGTTACTAATACCGGTGTACTTCTCCTGTGTCCTTGGACATGGGTATCTGTTTTGGTGGATTCCAGCGTTCTCCTCTTGATGGTTGTTCAATAACTGTGATATCAGTGCCCTCTCAGGAGGAGCTGAGCGCATGTCCTCTTACTGTGCCATCTTGAACCAATCTCTGAGTGGGATTTTACTTGCAAAGGTTTTTTGCTTGAACCAAAAGAGAAATATTTGTGTCTTGGATTGAGAGTACCTTCCCCTTCACTCTTGGCTAGCCAGAATGTACAGATACCTGAAAAAAGAAATGGGCTGTATCTCATTAAGAAAGAACCTAAAGTTGTCCAATAAGTAGATGGTTTTGGTCTTCAAAAAAAAAATTTTTTTTTAACTTTTTCTACTATACCTCTGTAAATGGGTCCTGAGAGGATCAAGAAGTAGGGGCCAGGTGCCATGTAATTTAAAGCACAAAGACGTCCATAGCAGCAAAGTGAAAAAGGAAGGGGAATTTTGTATTCTTGTGTATAAAGCATTTTTATGTAGCTTGTGGGTAGCTACCTGTATTTACATTTATTTTCAAAGTCTTTATCGCATTAAAAACTGCATAGCAAACATTCTCAAATGCATGATGCTTTTCTTTCATATCAGTTAACTACTACCTGATGGCTACCTTAGAGGAATCTGTAGTTACTTCCTAGGTGGAAAGCAGCAGTCTGAATTCGATCAGGAAGGGAGATGTCTGGATGATTTTCCTGGTTATCCAAAAAATATCAGTGTAAATCATTCATCTTGTAGTTGGTGCCATAAGTGAATCACTCTAAGTCTACATTCAGCAAGCCAACGTTCAGATCAGTCTCCTGTGCTGTTCAGAAATCCTGTGTGCTGACAACACCCGTGGTGCGATTGTCCAGCTTCTGCTTGCAGTCTTTACCGCAGGAGGATTTGCAGCGTCACACAGCGTCCCAGTCGGTTACCATCCTGACACTGAGCTACAGCGCTGCGCTTAGACCCCATGCTTCTGCTGTGGCCTGTGGTGCTCAGGTTGTCTTACTCCTCTACTGCAAGTCGTTCTTCAAATGAAGAAGTTTCGTGTCCCCACTCGGTTTCCTTTGCTGCAGATGGCGTGAGTGTCTCCCTGAGCCTCTTCTCGCGCCTCTGCGCTCGGGCCAGCCGTCCTGGCCGCCCTCCTCAGCCGGCCTTCAGCGTGTCGCTGGCTCCCACAGCACTCAGAGCGCTCAGTGTGGCTGGAGCTGTTACCAACACGTAGCGCAGCCCAGAGTTGCATGGGCCTCTTGCAGAATTAAATTACTAAGGAAGGCACAGAGGAAATGTCATTATTAGATTTATGTTAGAGCGAATCAATTCTGCCATAAGGGTGGTGTCGTCTGCACATCTGAGGTTAATGATATTTCTCCCGGCAATCTTGATTCCAGCTTGTGCTTCCTCCAGCCCAGCGTTTCTCGTGATGTTCTCTGCATATAAGTTAACTAAGCAGGGTGACAACATACAGCCTTGACATACTCCTTTTCCTGTTGGGAACCAGTCTGTTGTTCCATGTCCAGTTCTAACTGCTGCTTCCTGACCTGCATATAGTTTTCTCAAGAGGCAGGTCAGGTGGTCTGCTATTCCCATCTCTTTCAGAATTTTCCACAGTTTATTGTGATCCACACAGTCGAAGGCTTTGGCGTAGTCAATAAAGCAGAAATAAATGTTTTTCTGGAACTCTCTTGCTTTTTCGATGATCCAGCGGATATTGGCAATTTGATCTCTGGTTCCTCTGCCTTTTCTAAAACCAGCTTGAACATCTGAAAGTTCACGTTTCACGTATTGCTGAAGCCTGGCTTGGAGAATTTTGAGCATTACTTTACCAGTGTGTGAGATAAGTGCAGTTGTGCGGTAGTTAGAGCATTCTTTGGCATTGCCTTTCTTTGGGATTGGAATGAAAACTGACCTTTTTCAGTCCTGTGGCCACTGCTGAGTTTTCCATACTTGCTGGCATATTGAGTGCGGCACTTTCACAGCATCATCTTTCAGGATTTGAAATAGCTCAACTGGAATTCCATCACCTCCACTAACTTTGTTTTGTGATGCTTTCTAAGGCCCACTTGACTTCACATTCCAGGATGTCTGGCTCTAGGTGAGTGATCACACCATCGTGGTTATATGGGTTGTGAAGATCTTTTTTGTACAGTTCTTCTGTGTATTCTTTCCACCTCATCTTAATATCTTAATATCTGTTAGGTCCATACCATTTCTGTCCTTTATCGAACCCATCTTTGCATGGAATGTTCCCTTGGTATCTCTAATTTTCTTGAAAAGATCTCTAGTCTTTCCCATTCTGTTGTTTTCCTCTATTTCTTTGCATTGATCACTGAGGAAGGCTTTTTTTAAATCTCTCCTGGCTATTCTTTGGAACTCTGCATTCAAATGGGAATATCTTTCCTTTTCTCTTTTGCTTTTCACTTCTCTTCTTTTCACAGCTATTGGTAAGGCCTCCTTAGACAGCCATTTTGCTTTTTTGCATTTCTTTTCCATGGGGATGGTCTTGATCCCTGTCTCCTGTACAGTGTCACGAAGCTCCATCCATAGTTCATCAGGCACTCTGTCTGTCAGATCTACTCCCTTAAATCTATTTCTCACTTCCACTGTATAATCATAAGGGATTTGATTTAGGTCATACCTGAATGGTCTAGTGGTTTCCCCTACTTTCTTCAATTTAAGTGATGAAATTGATGAAAATGAAAGAGGAGAGTGAAAAAGTTGGCTTAAAGCTCAACGTTCAGAAAACTAAGATCATGGCATCTGGTCCCATCACTTCATGGGAAATAGATGGGGAAACAGTGGAAACAGTGTCAGACTTTATTTTTGGGGGCTCGAAAATCACTGCAGATGGTGATTGTAGCCATGAAATTAAAAGACGCTTACTCCTTGGAAGGAAAGTTATGACTAACCTAGATAGCGTATTTAAAAGCAGAGACATTACTTTGCCAACAAAGGTCCATCTACTCAAGGCTATGGTTTTTCCAGTGGTCATGTATGGATGTGAGAGTTGGATGGTAAAGAAAGCTGAGTGCCGAAGAGTTGATGCTTTTGAACTGCGGTGTTGGAGAAGACTCTTGAGAGTCCCTTGATCTGCAAGAAGATCCAAGCAGTCCATCCTAAAGGAGATCAGTCCTGGGTGTTCATTGGAAGAACTGATGTTGAAGCTGAAACTCCAATACTTTGGCCACCTGATGTGAAGTGTTGACTCATTGGAAAAGACCCTAGTGCTGGGAAGGATTGGGGGCAGGAGGAGAAGGACAACAGAGGATGAGATGGCTGGATGGCATCACCGACTCGATGGACACGGGTTTGGGTGGACTCTGGGAGTTGGTGATGGACAGGGAGGCCTGGCGTGCTGCGATTCATGGGGTCACCAAGAGTTGGACACAACTGAGTGACTGAACTGAGCTGAACTGAAATCAATTCTGATGCAAAATGCTGAGAAACTGCTTAGGAGGCTACTGAAATAATGATTGGATCAATAACAGAGGGGTTATAGTGCAGAAAGTTTCAGGAAATGGAATTAAAAGGAGTTGGCGACCCACTCATTGGATGTGAGAGGTAAAACAGGCAGTGGCATCTAGGTTTTCCTACTGAGATGGGAAAGAAAGAGAAATATGTGTGACAGGGAATGAGTTGAGTTCAGTTTTGAAGAGGCAGATTCGATGGCAAAAATGTACATCATTGAATATATGTAAGAGATAGTTTAGAGCTTGAGAGATATGTGTTAAAAATGAAAAATTGAGAGTTGTCCTTGTATACATTGTGTACATTGTGAGAATCATAGGCAGAAGTTGAGATTACTCAGGGAAAACATCTAATGTCAGTAGGGGCCAAAGATTAACCATGTAAAGACGAGTGGAAGAAAAAGCCAAGGGAAGAGTAAGTTTCAAGTAGGAGGGGGTCACCAGTGTGAAAGCTTCTTTTCATTGTTTACTGCCTCCTGAGCTAGAATACAAGCTGCTAGAATACAAACTTTAGGAAGCTGGGAACCATGTCATTCTTGTTCCCTACCGCATTCTTAGTACATGGTTTGCAAGCACTAGATATTTGTCAAGTCAATAAATATAGAAATGTGTGCATTTATGCAGGACAGGACAAAGGTATGATAAGTCATTCTATATATCACTGAAATCCTCCACCAGGTAGACATATCACTTCAGTATTCCTTGAGGAAGGTTTTTTGATCATCTAAAAAACTTTCTGAATAGTATTAGCCAGTCCCTACTTCTCTGTTATATCCAAAAGAGATATGTGGTATTGAGAAGACAGAGTACTCAAACTGTCTCTCAAATTATTTACATTGCATCCTAGATATTAATGTTGACTACTTGACTTTCTGGGACTTTGTTTCCACATCTGCAAAATCAAAGTGTTGGACAAATGATCTGTAAGAGTTCCTCCCCGTTTAACATACTTTTATTATAGGATATAATAAAATACTATTTCAGATACTTTGCTGAAATACACATATACAGTATATATCTGTACTTCCCCAGTCTACCACTTTAGAAATTATATACAAAAAAAAAGATGACGATAAGGTAATGAATGGTTGAGTAGCCCCT